CCGTGCTTCTGGTACAACGCCTTGCGCTGAGCGATGCGCTCCCTGTAGCTGGACTCGAGCTCGAGCCACCAGTCAGGGTCGAGTTTGGTTAGAGCTGTGTGTTCTATGTCAATATACATTGGATGAAACCTGGGATGAAAAAAAAAAGCAAAAGGAAAAGAGAAGTTTGCCTTCTCACACATACACATCGTCTGATGATACGGCCACCTCCACGGCCTGTACGGTCGCGGCTTGGCCCTATCAATATCGAACTCGGGATAGGGTTTCGGCAGAGGGACTCCCGACAGCGCGGAATAGTCGGGGAAGTCGCCCAGCGCCTTGATTTCGCGGACTGAGAAGCCGGAATAGACGTACTTGTCCTCGTCCGCAGTGGCATAGTCCTCGTCGAGCCTCAGCAGCGAGCGCTCAAACCGCTCCTGCGAGAAGGAGAGGTCGCCCAGGACTTCCCTCTGCTCCGGCGATAGGCTTTTTGAAAGTTCGCTGAGCTCGCCGCGCAGCGAGGGCGGGAAGGTGGTCGCGATATCGGAAGCGGATGATGCTAACGGCCTCGATGCCGCCGAAAGGGGTTGCTTGTCCGCACTTGGCTTGATAAGCTGGGGTGGCGGTACCCCGCCACGTGCTACCTTCTGAAGCGCCGCATTCCTTCGGTCTGGGTTCAAGATGTAATATGCGATGAGATATACAGAGAGGACGACTAGTGACCATAGGAGAAGTGTCACCGCCATGGTTTGCTGTGAATCTGAAGATACTTGAGACTAGGAAGGGGTATAGTCAGTCATATTGTCGATCACTGATTCACCATTGCGGGATGATCTCATAACTGGATGGATGAGTATGGTGCGCAGAAAGGGATTGATGCCCAATCTTGAATATGTGCCCAAAAGCCCAGTTTCTCGTGCTGTGGAAGACGCTTTCGCACCTCAGAAAATCCTATTCAAGGTTTACACGCCAGAATTCATCGTCGACTATAATTCTTGTCACGTGGTCAGCAGTGAGTCTTCCAGGAACAACAGGTGAGCCTTATAAATCGAAGTGATGACGCACGAGTGACAAAAGATTTGAAGAAAGTCAAGATAGTCGAGACAGAAATGGTTTGACAGTGAGATGAGAGTGCAATAAATGTAGCCACAGGAGGAATAGATGTATGAAGCTGACTTATTGGCGTACCTTTAGATACGACATCGGACGATGCACCGACGTAGCAGATAGCTTTATCAGGTTCTGCAACAAGGGTCTCATCCCCTTGTTCCCCAACCAATAGGTGCATATGCCTAGAACCCCGCATCCTCACTTCCCCTGCAGGCGGTTATCAGTCTAGTCGGCCCAGATCTCTTTGGGGATAAGTAGGGGTAAAACGAGTGCGGTGTCCTGATAGACAAGTCATCGATTGAGTGAATCACTCCACTCGATTCGATTTTCTGCGGCCATATTATTTTGTGTTGTCATCGAGTTTGGACGGAGAGGCTGATGCTGATGATGCCTGTTGATCAAGACGATTGGGCCTGAAAGCCAGCAGTCCTCCTCCTAATCGGCGTGAGGGAGTCATAACTGAGATTAATGCGAGACCCCTTTCATCGCATCTCATCACATCTCATATTGATCTTGAATCAAGAATCTTGAGGTTTGAAGCTGTCCTGGTGTTGACCGTTTGTCAGATATAGAAAGACAACAATGACAATGTTTGAACGAGACATAGAAACAATACCTTGTAATCACACAAAGAAAACGTCGCTTCCCAAAACTTCTACATAAGCATGCGCAGAAGCCCATGGTGCGCCTCAAGAAAACTTTTGAAAGAGTATCCTGTGCCACCAAACACAAAAGTCCCTACTTGAAACTGCTCTAGTGAATCTGAAATCATGGATTCAAGCCCAAGCCGAAGCTCAAGCCGGAAGAAGGAGGACGAAGAGAAGAGAACTCCGCCGGAGCCTGCAAAGGACCGGAAATACTTCCCATGGGGCTGCAGCATGCCCAGCAACCCGGAGACCGGATTCCCGACCTCGAAGAAGATATCCCACATGGAAACTTGCGCCTGTCCCGGCACTGGGGACGAGCGAGCGGTGCGGATAGCCATCCTCGAGGCCGCCCATCGTCTCCACCAGTCCAACGTGGTGAAGTACCGACTGCCCGTCGCCAACGCCAAGGCACAAGAAGTGGCGACCAGCATCGGCGTATGCTTAGCGTCCAGGGTCGAGGACTTACCCTTCTATAAGGATAAGGTGTACTGGTCCAACGGCGTGTGTATGGAGGTACTGGGAAGGGGGTTTACGCCGAAGGAGTTTGAGCATCTGCGAAAGTTGGACAAAACGGATACGCACTGCGAGTGGGTGATTTAGGGAGCCATCATAACCGCCGGCATCATAGTCTGCCGCCCTAATTCGCTTGTTACTTCGGTTACGTGTCCATTTAAAGGCCAGTTGGCAGAGTTAAGACTCAAGAATAAGTGGCCTTCGTGAGAGAGCATCATTTCGACTGTAGACTCTGTAACTTCAACTATCCGGTAGGTAGGTAGTCAATCCAGTTGTCACACAAGTCCCAATTGCCTTTTTAGCTGCCATTCTCCAGAAGTAAGCAGTGAATGTTGATAATTATGTGACGGTTTTGAAGACGTTCACTTACAAGTGAACTGATAAGTCATCACAGCAGCCGTACGTACCGGAATTTGGATCATCCTGTGTGACCAAGCTTGCTCCGATGTAGATTTTGAAATAGGAGACAATTCCGCCGACTCGGGTCTTGAAATAGCTCCTAGATCCTAACTCCGCTCGGACCTCCGAGAGTGATCGGCTATCTTGCTCTTATTGAGGTTGCATTGCAGATCACATGAGTAAATGAGATGCACGACTGGGAACTCGGGCTTCGACCTTGGGCTTCGGTGTACAGAACTCACATCACGGGCCACCTCATTGTGAGAAGTCTAGCCCAAGCCCCGTCATCCGACGTGCATTTTCTGGCGCATCCGAGAAGTCTGCAACTGATGATTAGTTGACAGTAAACGGTAATGGTAAGTCGTAAGACGCGGTATTTCGTTAACTCCGAAGCCAGCGGGGCTGTATATAATCAAGAGAGGCATTTCTCAATAATCTTGAATCCGAAATTCCTCTTCAAGCCTTGCCATACGTCTACAACTTCCAGATACCATTCGCCATGACTACTCACGAGGCTCGCCTGAAGGTAGCGATCGTGGGCTCCGGAATTGCGGGCTTAGCGGCAGCTCGCATACTTCGAGAGAAGCATGATGTGACAGTATACGAGCGTGGCGGGCCCTCGACCACATATGGCGGCCAGGGCGTTGCGAACTTTCCCAACGCAACGCCGATTCTGAGCAGCATTGGATTTGACTACAGGCGTGCTGGCTCGGTCGAGATCGGGAATTGGCATTCTGTCAACAAGCGCGGCAAGGCTCTTTATACCACTGAGTACAACATGAAGGAGCGCTACGGTGCGCCTCTCGTAACCCACATGCGTGTTGACCTGCGCACCGAACTGCTCAGACTGGCTACGGCACCTCCGGAAGACCTGGGGCTCGATGCCAGCGCTGCCCCTGCGACGACGATCTGGGAGAATGGTGCTGTTGACTTGCATGCCGAAGATGGGAGAATCACACTTGCGGACGGCAGCAGTGTGGAGGCCGATGTGGTCATAGGTAAGCCAACATCAAGAGTCGGTTTGTGTTAACAGGCACCCTCGGGGCTAATACGAATGATGCAGTCGCAGACGGCATTTACTCTCGCCTGCGGGAGAAGATCCTGGGAACACCTGCCCGGCCTCGCAAAACAGGTATGACATGCTGCCGTGTAGCCGTGTCAGCCGAGCATATCAAGGCGGCACTTGGCAAGCTTCCGCTCTGGTGGCAGGACCAGCTGGATAAAAACGAGGGCCATATGCGCCTCTACGATGCCATAGACGGCACGTCGCGACTAGTGACTTTGTACCCTCTCCGTGACAGGACATGGGTGAACATGTCTTGGATATATCCCACGAAGAAGGAGAGTGAGGGCGCGACTGTATCGTGGAACGCGGAGGGCAACCGAGATGAGATACTGGCTGTCTTCCACGACTTCGAGGAGGAGCTGAAGACAATGCTATGGTAAGCGGGCCAGCCCTGCCGAGGAAAGTCGGAGATCGAACTCTGTTTGCTAACGAGCAGATACCTGCTAACCGTAGTGCTGCTACCGAGGTCAAGCAAGGGGAGCTTCAGGATCTTGAGCCCTTGCCGAAGTGGGCTTCTGGAAGAGCAATCCTCATTGGCGACGCGGCCCACGCTATGACGCCTCTCCAGGGCCAAGGTCAGATCGATACACCTCGCTGCAAACAGTATTTTATATGCGCAGGACTAATCGGACTTGCGTGCTATCAGGTGCCAATATGGCCATCGAAGACGCGGACGGACTGCGCCTTCTGACCCAGCCTGGCCTCACGCGTGACGACGTGCCACGAATTCTCCAGAAAATTGAGAGCATTAGGAGACCTCGCGCTGCAAGAGTGCTTCACAATACACGCTCGAGCTCGAGAGTGTCTAGTGCTGCTGATCGCTATGCCAAGTTTGACGAAAACTGCACTTACCCGGGCATATTAAGCATAGTGAAAGAGCAAGCTGCGAGAGGCCTGAGTTAGAGTAGGTTAGGGCATTCTTAGGAAGTGTAAGGCATTAGTGGCCGTAGCCAGAATAAGTTCCGCTTACTTCTTCCATTGCCCAAGAAACCTGCATCCCGACTCGAATGTCAAGGCTCCGGTCAAGACGAACGAAGAAAGTGTTTTTGGAGTGTTCTTGAGTGCAAAATTCCACCGTAACAAGAAGACTCAGAGCTTCCTTCAACAAAGAAAAAAAAAGAATTAGGACGACAGGTGAGAAAAACGAAAAAAGAAGACTCCGAATCGGGGAATCGAACCCCGGGCTTGACGGCACACGTTGTTATCGTGAGAGCGTCAAATGTTAGCCACTACACCAATTCGGATGGAAAGAGAAGGTATAATGATGGGATTGAACCACCAGAGTTTGGACTCGCGGGGAATCGAACCCCGGACCACTCCCAAGTTTTCAGATGCTTAGAGAAAGCTCTTGAAGATGCTAAGGGAGTATTATACCACTAAACCACAAGCCCAGACCGGGACGAGGAAGCTCGGATCAAGCTTCAAGGCCGATTGTTGAGAATTGTGTGTCAAATGTTATATATCTCTGTGCCTGAAGGATGGGTAAATCCGTGTGGTTGAGTCAAGGTTAACCTAGTCTAATAACCGACAAGGTTCCAGTAGATTTCTTGAGAAGCTTGGAGGGGGTTGTGGGTTTGTGGGCCGCGCTAGAGCGATAAGTTTGTGGTCATGCAGTTAGGGTCTAACAGTGCTGCAGTGCAGCAGTACATCATTACCTCAACAAGCAGTACAGCTGTACTAGACTACTGTGTGATGTTGCACATCAAGGCTCCAAGGGTTACTATGAAGTTACCTACTATGAGTTGCTACCCATGGCGGCATTCAACAAGCTTAAGCGAGAATAGGTTGGGTTGAGTCTATTGCATTTTCACTCACCTACTTAAACAGCCCAGAGAGACCGTCTTTTGCTATATATTTGCAGCCGCCACATACCTATGTCAATTCAACTTACCTTCGTTCCTTCCGTAGTCACTTACAAACGAGGCAGTTGTATCTTGCCTACCGACTCCACGAATCCCATGAAAGTCTCACCAACCATGATGGCAATTTTGATGTCGCCAGTCTTCTTCCGCAGAAGTTCGGACAGTGAAGAGGGAACCACGGGCGGAATTGTGACCTTCTCTTCCTCACTGCCTTCTCCGTCATCAATGTCCATTGGGTCCCCGTAGTTGTTGGCATACTCGATGAGTCCCGCCCGGTCCAGCGAGATTAATAAGTGCACCTGGCGCCTAAGGGCCAGAGCGCGTTCTTCGTCTATCATCACTATATCCCCATCCTCGGTCATGAAGCAATACCGGGGAAGCTCCATCGGGCTTTTAACACGCCCTGAACGAGCGGTCTTGCTCAACTTGCTAGCATTGCTCTCCATCGGCCTGTTAAATTCTCTTACCACGACCATATTGTGCGATACTCTGATGACCAAGATAGCGTGAATAGGGCTAGATGAGTTGTTCCCGATTCCTGGTCGATGACTCTACGAAAGAAAGAGATCAACTCGATGCGTCGTGATGATGTTTGATGCTTGTCTAAAAAACGTGGCTCAGAGGAACATGCTGTATAGTATGCGAAGAGCCCAGATTTTATCCAAGTCGCCGAGAGAAACATCCCCTTTAACAGAGAGTGTATGTCTTGAAGCATCATGAAACATGCTTCTGCACGTTGCCCACTAACAGAAAACATCTACCTTAGGGACTCGGAGGACAATGCGATTGTTCTATTGCCAAGATAGCCAAGCCAAGATAGCCAAAAGAAAGCCGCAGGAACAATTGCGAAGGAAGTCTTGGTTGGAGACAGCCATCTCCCCTTTGTTGTTGCGGAATAATCATAATCTTAATTATACAACGGTAATATCAAACCTTCATTGCTCTCCTTTTTTCAACTCTCCGCTCCGTGTGAGCAATGGATTCTAAGGTAGTTGATGTTACCCCCTAGGTTAGATCAATTGAGGCTAAAATTTGACTACCGTTGGGTAGCAAACGCTAGCCCAAATGGGCGGAAATCAAAGTAGTAGTCCTTTTGCGTACCTACGATATCTCCGCGGAATCGAAAATCCTCTCTGCTGTACTGGTGTAATCCTTCAACAAACGCCTGTACAGCGGACTGTACAGTATCAGCAGCCCTTTTATCTTTCGCAATGCAGAATCTGCAGCTTTGGAGTACATATGTAGATCATTAACCTAATGAAGGTAACATGAAAGTGCCAACTTACTGTATGTCCATGTTTAGTGATGCCACTTTTGCAGAGCGAACTTGATTCATCTGATTGCCATGTACTTTTCGATACCAGCTCGAAATTCCATGATTACGTGTGCGCCCAATACTATTCTGTTAGGGGTTGAGAGGTATCTCCGTGTACTGTTTCTCTGGAGCAAATGCAGGTTGATATTGGGATCGACAGAGAGGTACTCACGTGTACACCGGCAGAAGCGCCGGTATGCTGTAATCGGGCTTAGATCTTTGGGCTCTAGGCCCCACCCGTTTGAAACATGGTCTCCAGGTTGTGACGGTCTATCCAAGTTTCTTGTCCGGCCCTATGTATATTCAGCAACACCTCCAGCTGTACTAACATTCACACCCCTCTTTCCCCGTCCTTGTTCTCTTTGGAAAGCTTCTTCATCCGTAGACTAACGCAGGTTTGAATAAAGTAGTTAGAAAGCTTCGGCTTTAGGAAATAATCTATCATTGTTCCATTCCGCTTGTAACAGTTTTCACCTCTTCCCAGATGGGGTTGCAGGACACCCATGATAGCGTCATTACCTAAGACGTGGGGAACAAGTTGAATAATCGCACCACAGTGACCGCACACCCTGGTAGTCTAAGTTATTAGTACTGCTGTACCTGCAATAAACTCCTCTCAACACAGCACCTACATGTCTACAGGTACCTGGGATTTTGCGACATATTGCCACCGCTGGCACACCTGCCCTCCCTGGTCCGAAGATTGGTCCCCAGTCCGGTTTTTTCGGTTCTGTTGCGAGCAAGGTCCTTTCTATCATTGCTGCTTCGTACCTGTTTTAGGCGCAACTAGCAAGAGCCCTTCAGGGTCCTACACGAACAATGTGTCTGTGGCCTATTCATCCGTCGTAACATTTTCACCAGAGATTGGGGAATGCAGGCGCCATAGATACCCCCTCTTTTTCTCTTGAATCGGACATTTACCTTTTGCCCAGAGGATTGACGAAGGGATTCTGAGATTCACTGTGCACACACTTGACTTCTAGGTCGTTAGCCGTGGCTTCCGGCCAGTGGAAGGAGCAGTGTTCTTTTAGAAGCTGCAATTGGGGGCAGGAAGGCATTGGCTGTCCATTACCAACCCGCGCGACTCCTGTTCGTTTTCGTCATCGGCTCTGAGAGTTGAAGGAATGGAATCTGGTGACAATACGGCAGGCCATCCGCCACAGCGAGAGCAACCTCCCCTGCCCGATCAGGATGGTGTCGAACTTCCACCCCCTCAGTCGCCCGGCACGTGTCCAATTGTCGAAGGCGAATCGCCGAGTGACGATGCCACACCCGTTGCCGGTACCACGGAACAACCCACCGACTTCCCCGCCCCACCCCATGACCAAAATGTGTCCCGAGACTCAAGTGTCACGAAGACGACGGAGGGCCAAGCCGCCATCGTAACGCAGCTTGGCAGTGCTCAGGGGACTAGCGGTGCTGTTGAGCGTTCTGATCGAGTCTTCCCTATCAGGTCCGTCGTCAGCGTTGACCAGACCCAACCAACACCATGGGTTCACTCCCGCGATCCTACCGAAATCGATTATTTCCCGCGTCACGAGACTACATGGGACGGCCGCCGTCGTCCAAGCAATCCGCGCGTCACGACAGATGCTTCAACTGCATCACGCCGCTCTGGCGCCCTGCCTAACCCTACCTCCCCGAAACACAGAGCCACTGTCCCTGGGAGGGGTCAAGATGACGTGCTTGGTAGCCCGTCACTGGATGATGCTCGGGTGTCAGATACTGCGAAATTTCAACTCTTTAGCGACAGCGCCTCATCTATATCTGACCGGATGAGTGTGCGAGGGGCCGCGTCTCTACAGGGTGACGGCGCTAGCGAATTCGAAGGCCAGGCTGCTGAGTCCCTTTCCGAGCCGAACGAGGCACTTTTTACGACTCGCTTCCGGCATGTTATCACGAAAGACGGGCACGCTGTAATTACGGGCCGTGATGGTGACCTGCAGCGTTGCGAAGATGAGCCGATACACACGCCGGGCGCAATACAGGACTTCGGTCTCCTGATTGCCTTGAAGGAGGAGGTGGATGGGCGACTTTCCGTCCGAATAGTGAGCGAAAACTCGGAAAAGATCATCGGTTATTCCCCCCAACAACTATTCCGATTGGGGTCCTTTACCGAAATCCTCTCCGAACAACAAGCAGATAATTTACTGGACCACATTGACTTTATTCGAGACGAGGATCCCGATCCAGGGGCGAACGGCCCGGACGTCTTTAGCCTCTCCATAAGGCCACCAGATTCGAAACCAGTCAAGTTATGGTGTGCTATGCATACCAACAAAGCCCACCCTGACCTGATCATCTGCGAGTTTGAGTTTGAGGACGACCAAGAACACCCGGCCCGGCCGCCCGACGAGACCACGCCCGACGAGCCCAAAGACACGCTTTACCAGAATCCAACCGAAGAGGAGTTTCGAGAGAGTACTAGTATGCGGAGTAAGCCTCTGCGAGTTCTGAGAAGCGCACGTAAGAGACGGGGTGAAGCCGGCGCCATGGAGGTCTTCGACATCATGTCGCAGGTGCAAGAGCAGCTAGCATCAGCCCCGAATCTCGATATTTTCCTCAAGATCCTCGTCGGTATCGTCAAAGAACTCACTGGGTTTCACCGTGTCATGATCTACCAGTTTGATGCTGCTTTCAATGGGAAAGTGGTGTCCGAATTGCTCGATCCGACGAAGACTCGTGATCTGTATCACGGGTTGCATTTTCCTGCATCGGATATCCCCAGACAAGCTCGCGATCTCTACAAGCTGAACAAGGTGAGAATACTGTACGACCGGGACCAGGAAACAGCTCGACTGGTGTGTCGAACCGTGGAGGATCTGGAACGGCCACTCGACCTCAGCCACGCATATTTGAGAGCGTTATCTCCCATCCACCTGAAATACCTCGCAAATATGGCGGTCAGATCATCCATGTCGATAGCGATAAACGCATTTGGCGAGCTCTGGGGCCTGATCGCCTGTCATAGCTACGGCCACCATGGTATGCGTGTCACGTTCCCTATTCGGAAGATGTGTCGCCTGGTGGGCGATACGGCCTCTCGAAACATAGAGCGTCTTTCTTACGCCTCGCGCCTCCACGCTAGGAAACTCATCAATACGATGCCAACCGGCCAAAACCCGTCTGGCTATATTATCGCCTCTTCCGAAGACCTCTTGCGGCTGTTCGATGCTGACTTCGGCATGTTATCTATACGTGACGAGACGAAAGT